TAAACTAACAGGACTAACAATTCATTACTGCCTTAAAATTCACGACAGTTTTGTGAAAGATTGAAATCATTTCAAGCAACATTTGATCGGATGGAAGTTGAAACCATACTCTCAACCATAGAAGTATAGATACAGTTAATTTAGATCAAGAAAAAAAAAAGTTGCTTACTTGCTTAGGTCCTTGAAACGTGCGGCAAGGTACTGTTTGGCAGCATCCATTAGAGGCAGAACCGTTTCGGACATTAGAACGGTTGAGGGGAGGTCCAAATAAAGCAAGGCCGATTCACAGGTCATTGGCATGTGGCGCAATAACCGGCTGCAATATCTCATGCATGAAGCCACCTCGAATTTATCAGCCACCATCAACACGTCCAGTAAAGCAGTTGGTGTTGTTCTGGGTAGAGTATTGCTGTACATGAAGTTCAGCAAATCCATGAGGGCTGTTTCCTCTGCTTACCAGAAGTTGAAAAACAAAAAAACAGTCGGTTAAATAATGAGTCGTGCTTCAATATTTCATATTTTCAAAGAATTATAGTTTTAATTTATTTATTTTTTTTAGTTTTTTCGGCTGGTTTAGTTTTTCGAGATTCTTTTTGGTATGTTTCGAATTGCTTTTAATTCTAAGATTAGGAGACTGCTTGGCAAATCAATATAGGCCAAGAGTGTGCCTCCACCAAATAACCATTTTCTCAAAATGGAATTCACAACATCAATACATCAACATCAACATACCCAGTATATTCCCAACATATTCCCAACAGACCTTACCCTTGTAATTATACAAGGAGGCTGTTTCCATAGCGACCCAAGGTGCGTTGCGTCGTTTGATATATTTTTTTTCTAGAAACTTTAGAAACTTCACCAATAGAAGAAGCACTAGAATTAAATTGAGTCATTTTGATCTAGTCCATTATTAGCATAGCACTATGCCAGGAGAATTGTCCACAATGACTCTTCCAGCTCCATATGCATATGCAATGGACATTCAAAATGGAATTCACAAACATCATTAAAAATATTTTTGCTATTAGAAAATTTTTAGGCTTCTCCGTGCAGAGTAGCTTCGGAAAAATATTTGATAAACATTAGAACTTAAAACGTGCTAAAGATAATATCAGCAGTCTCTTGATATAAAAATTTCGAACTCACTCGATGAAATGGTTACCTGAGGCCCGAATCCTTAGAGTTACATATCGCTGCTCAGACTCCTTCGTACCATTTGAGAACAACTGAAAAGCCGATGAACATTGAAACACAAGAATCAATATAAAGTTGAGGCGGAAAATAAAAAATGAAGCAAATGGGTCCTACTAAACACGACAAACCTTATAGAAAAACGGACTCTTCGCTGCCAAAATTGGAGAGCTGATGTGAAGTGTCTTAACTTGAATTGCTGAGTGATCTATACTAGATGATTCTTCATTTCCTCTAGCTTCATGACCTACAAATTGTATAAAAATTAAGAGCATGTTTGTTTATAAAAACTTTCAAAAAAATTTCTAACATTTTAACTCAACCACTCTTTTTAACTCAACTTTAACTCAACCCACTATTATCAAATCAATATAATTAAATAATATCAATCAACCATTCATACACACTACATCAACCTTAATTCACTATTCATCCACTCACATTATTTTAACTAATTATCACTTCAAATCATCTCTCTCATACTTTTTCATCGAATCAATTTAATTATTTTATTTTAAATATTATTATAATATACCCTCTAATAACTAACGATACCACCTTTTCAAAATTAACCAAACCAAATCAAAAAATACAAACAAAACAAAAATTTTTCATAAACAAACATGCTCTAAACTTTTGTTATCATTCTGCTTTCAGAAAACCCAAGCGTAAAAAAAAAAAAAGTAAAACTGAAATTATTGAGGAAGAAACTTAAATAGAGAACAGTGTTTGACAGGTAATAATCAATGCCAATAAAGGATATTTATGATGCACCTGATTCATGCACAGTAACTTCTGCATCCAAAGGTGACTCCTCAACCATTGCAACAGCTTCTTCTTCCTCTTGATTCTCATAAGCAACTACTTCTTCCAAATCCGGCATATTGCCATTCAGATCCTGTTCTTCACATTGTTCGGGAGGTTCTGTACAGCATAAAAACATGAACGATATCAACATTCAACAGCCTCATACTTGACAAAGAAGAATATTTTACTACAGAATGTACAAGTCATAAATCAAATGTTTTTCATATGCTTAGACTTTATAGGAGTTACTTCATTTTTGTACGCCTATCCCCATTATTCATCGCATATAACTTAACAGAACTATATAAAATAGATTCATGCATAGATATTATTTATAGGGCTCAGAGTTCCGCTAAGAATGGCAACAGAATCAGAAATGATAAGAAAAGGAAAAAATAGAAATGAAACAAACAAAACAGATTGTGGATTTCATTTATTCAGATTTATCTGACCAGCTACACACTAAATTCGGAGTAGAGAAAAAAATATGTTAAAAATTTAATAGATCTTCCTGTGTCAGTGTTCGTTGCAAGTTATAAGGATTGGTACCAATTCACAAACGTTATCGCCTGATCAAAAGTGCAAATCATGATTTCAATTTATATGTCTATCTCGAAACAGGAACACTAATAAGTTGTGGTACTTTTGGCCAGAAAAGCACATTCTTTCTCCATATAAGATTTCTCAAGGAAAAAAAAAGGTGAATCCTTGTTATTAGTAGCTTCTAATTCCCCGACCATTTCTATTTTCCATTAGTTTCATTTTTTACTTCACAAGTTGGCTCTAGTAAAAGAATAAAAGTGACTACGGAAAAATCAGTCTCGAGGATTATAAACTCTCATGCACACTAGAAATCTGTCACTAAATCCATAAAGCAGCTGGGGAATTCTAGTGCGCCACGTCTAGTTACTAATGCATGAGCAATATATTCTGAAAATCTTCCAACATACAAAACACTAAATTTAATTTGTATGTGCAGCTAAACATTCGCTCACTGACCAAACAAACTCACTTTTCCACCAAAACTAGGGAAAATATTACATGGGTAGTATAAAACTATTGACAAGATCGTAATTTCTCTTTCGTGTAAATTTCCCGATCTTCACCAATCGGATTTCGTAGGCGAAGTATCCACATGTAACATAGAAGGGCCCACATCAAAACACAAGTATTCTCTAAATGTGAAGATCCCTTCCTTTAGCTAACCTTTTTGAGCTCTTATGAGAACACAATCCTAAATTTCTAATGCACATAACATCCCTGATAAAAACTTCAAAATACCACATTTTTATCACCCCATTTGAACATTCAATCACAAACATAACATCATTGTTAAACAATCACGAATATGAAAGGCACAAACATTAACAAATCCCCCAAAACCTCCCTCAAAACACAATTTTTCCCCCATAAACACAAAAAAGAATTACAACAAGCAAATAACAGAACAGTACGTATCAGAAAATTCATAAAAAAATCGAATCCGTGCAAAATAAGAACAAAGAAGCAACAGAATACCGTTCACAATGGCGAGCTGATCATCACGTCGGCGTTTCCGGTTCCTGGCCCAATCGGCGAGGCTGACGTCCGGGTCGGGTTTGGAGCCGGGAGAATCGGGCAGGATCTCAATCCGAAGGATCCGGTCCGAGAAATTGACGTCGTTGAACGCGAAAGCGAAATCCGACGAGGGTTCCGGCGACCCGGAATCCGAGAAAGCGAGCGGCTCCATTAAAAACCGTGATGGGCTCAAACAAAATTATCTTTTTCCTCAAGAATTCTAGATTTTACGTGCCTATCTTCCTTAAAATGAACTGAATATCATTTTTTTTTTACCTTTTCCCCATGGCAGAGTTTTCTGGAGTGTACGGAGAGAGAGGAGATAATATGAGAGAGAAACGCAATTAAAATGACGCAGCGATTGTGAGGAGAGAGAAAAATTGGAGGGTTTTTTGTCTTTATTTAGTCATTATTTCTACCGTTTTTCACACCGACTATCAAGTATTTTTAGGTCTAGCATGTGCGAGATATAATAAATTGTATAAATTAAATTAATTAAATGAATTGTCAATTAATATAAAAATAG